AAAAAAAAAAAAAAAAAAAAAAAGTGGGTTTTCAAATAATCAAAACACAATCCAATGAAACCGTAACATTTATTCGCATTCTATTATAATAATAAAAATATATTACAAAGAATCATTTACATGGTATCGCGAGTGGCTCTCTATAGGACCTCTCTCAATTACGCAATTAATCTACGTGTACTTGTTTCAGAGGAAAAAGAAAAAAAAATTAAAAAAACTTCCCATTAGTCCGTAGCATAGTAATCCTCAAAATTGTGTATCTATGAAATAACCATTGTTCGGTGCGTGTCGTTAAAGTGCGAACACGCCAGTCATATTGTGTTACGTAATTGCGCATGCATATTTATGTATAGTATATATATATATATGCACGTACATACAGTAATGTACGAAAGTTGAAATGGCCCAAACACTGCTGTCACGTGTTAGTGCCTTAGTAATTATTATTCATCGGATAATTAAATAATGAATTCTTTAAAAAGCACAGAGATGTCACCGTCCGACGGTTTACAATTACCTTAATGCGTATCGTGTGTTTTATCGCGTATCTCTTTAAAGTGCGATCGTGGGTCAAGGACGTGTGAATTAAGGGTCATGTTTATTTCGGGCACTCCCTGATCAAACAGATTTCTATCTCCAGGGCTAGATTGATTATTGAAATTCTTTATTTACATCGGCGGTACTTTAATTAAAGGCAAGTTATACAATTGCACCCTTTTTTTCTATTTTATATAGGTATATGCTGTATGTATACGAATATGTACGATGCACGGTTTTAGGTAGGTTTATAACGATATTGAAAAGAAAAAGTACTGACGACTTTTTTTATACGTATGCTCTTTTATCCTGGTGTAAATGAAGGATTGTACGTGGTACTTTTATTTTTGGTATTTCCACTAGGTACAGTCGAATCGTGTCCATATTGCAAATCAATATGGCGCCCGCTCGACACCTGGGTAAAATATTCATTCGAACCGAGAGAGGCGGTCCTTGGTTGGTACGAGGAAGAAATCATTGTGGATTCGTTTTCATCGATTTTAGGTACCCCGGTCGGGCTTTAACGTGTTTCATAAAGGTTGCGACGTTAATTAAAAATTAATTACGCTCGCCAATTACACGTTCTCTATAAGGTAGGTGCATACTAAGAAGGGATTTTAATATTTCTTTGGGTGTACCATATGTACCGTTTGAGACTTTGTGATATACGGGAATACCTTATCAGTCGTATATGGGATAATACTGATTTTTTTTTTTTTTCAATACCGATTATAGGGCCGCACCTAATTTTTGGAAAAGAAATAGGAATTTGTGGTTTTTCTAATAGATTTTTTTTTAATATTTCAAAATAACGAAATTTTCCACAAGCGCTTTTTTATCTTTAAATTAATCTCAAAATTACATACCCGGTTGTCGATGGACTTATTTTCATTCGCATACGTGTAACATGTAAATTTCGGTAATGTAAGCTAATATTTACAAATAGCGCTATCTAATGACACGATAACTCGTTATCAGTAACATCGTTGACTCTACGATTTTCATTCTTATCGTTACTTAATTATTCCTTTTTTTTTCGATTAAATTTCGCACAGTCTCTTCTTATCACTTGCACTTCGTATATCGCATTTGTACGCGATCGGAATGACTATTTCTCGAAAATTAACGACTATGATTCACACACTGAAAAGGTGTCATCGGCGTTTTCTATATTACGCACCATAACCAGCACCAATTACACAGAACCGCCAGAAAACGAATCGTGCTGCAATTCGACTTACCACTATACGCCAAGTCTCGGATCGCAAAAGTTCGAATCGACTTCTACCAACCTATTCGTATCGATCTTCGAAGAAAAATCGATATAAAGCCAATCGATAATATCGATGATAAATACCCCGCGTTAAAATAGCATATCAATCGCCTAACCTTATCTAGGTGTATACATTTTATTGCACAAAAATTATTCAAACTTTGTTAATACGCAGCCGGTGTCGTATTGACCCATATTTAAAAACATTTTAAATTTCCCGCCATATTTACAGCTCAAATTGAGCAACTCTCGGGCTATTAGTCACAATGATAAATTGCTAATGACTCTCGCGAAACCAGCGATACGTAAATTTTACATACACGTATTACGTGACGCATTTGTAATTTACGAAACGAATCATTAATACGTTTGTAAATGCGTCTACGAATACTCGTAGAAAGCGGACTTTTGCGTTAGAGTCATTCGATTATTTATCCGAAGCTGCTGACGTCAGGTCGTCAACTGTCAAGGCGTCGTAAGAACGTCCCTTGGTTGGCCCTCGTGATAAATAGTATTTTATAGGATTCTTATTGGATAATATTTCGTTAAAACGGATGTTTGCTTTTTTAATTACGCCATCACGCTATTAAGTATTATTCCATTTTTCGTATTCAACGTGCAATATCAATTTACCTACTTGGTATTGTTTTCCGCGAGGAACCGCGTTTTCGACATGTCTCCGCAAATAGAAATGTCAATAGCACTCGTCGTAGTGAGGCGTAATTGCACGACATGCAGATATAAATGCTCGACTGCTTTCCCGTTCTCGTAGCATTGAATAATAATTGTATCGGCATGACAGAACAAACAGAAAGACTGGTAAGAGACACGATACGTTCGTTACGTACGGTTTTAACGAGGAGTCACGTAATTACGCACGTGCCTTACGTGAAATTGTAGCAAACTCTTTTTATGCTTTATGTATTACGGGCCTTTAACGTGAGCACGTACGCTTTTATGAACCCGAAGCTTTTTCTTGTTTACCTTTGTTTCCCTTTGACTCATTGTTTCACCCTGTGGCGGTGGACGGACAGATTCAATGTGAGGTTACAAATGTTTTCCGAGGTGTCGCCACCTGCAGTATCCCTTTCTCATTCGATAACGTATTTAATGATTCGTTTCGTTGACAGTTGGTACTTATGTTATTACGAAAAAAATGACTTTTCAGAAATAATTGGACGTTTTCATATTTCCAGATTTCACTGCAATGACGTTCTCGGAATTTATTTTCAATGTTTCGTCGAGGGAAGATGACTCTGCACGTGGCTAAGGACAGCGAGACAGCAGTGACATCTACAATAACTGCCGTATAGCTAATACTACATTCACTTGCATACTCATGTCAAATATTATTATTTCACTTCGAGAAAACAAACGTTCACGTTAAACACACTAATAACATACGAGTTACGTATAAACTAATTTATAAATTCGCTGAGCTTTCGACGAACGTCACGACGTTATTATATGTACGTTTTTTTTTTCTTGTATCATAAGAATACGCTCGATTGTGGTTAAGACGATGTATTTTTCAAATCGTCCTTGCTGTTCGCGTGGTACTTTTATCTGATAATATACGGCACGAGGTATTAATATTATTTTTTATTCTATTTAAGCTGCTTGTGCGCACCACCCTCGATAGACGATAGGAATGGATCATTGTTTTGGAATACAAGTTGACTCGAGTGTATCTGGGCTATTTCATGACTCGGAAGGTTTATCGAGATTTGACTGGATCAACTACCGGGTCCACTGCTCTTTGAAATCTCATTAATTAAAATTGAATCGGATGGACCATCGCAGAAGAATGTACGAATGGAAAATGAAACGGGTAATACCTCGTTGCGTATACGTATAAGATATTTTTATGATTATGACGCTATCAAATGTTTATGTGCCTCAATGACTGCTATCAAGTTTGTACACATTTATATTATTATGTATACCAATGGTAGTAATGCGAACGTACTTGACGTAGGTCAAATATGTATGATATACACTCTTGCGTAAATTTTCATGAATTTACTTATTTCTGTAACTTTTTTCACAATGGCCAGCGTTGCGTTAACTATATTGCACACAATGTAAACTTATGGCTAACAGTAGAAACGCATAATTGTGCGTAACACGTTACGAAGAAACAAATATACATATATATCCCGGCCCAATATACAATAACTGAGTTACTCGATCTCAGAGTAACGTTATGGGAATGTGAACAGCATAGGTGCAAGCGTATGTCGAGAGATGAATATAAATAAATATACAAAAGCACTGATTGCGAACCTGATCACTTAACGTCACCAGTGCATCGATGCAAAACAATGTAAACGTACTAGGAACTATTTAAGAAGTACTCACAGCAATTTGTGCCAAACACTGAAATAATAAATATTTGTGCTGAATTGACTCGTCGTCAGACTAAGGAAACTGATCTGTGCAAATCAGTGACGACTGGGTGCAGCTCGATTAAAATAAAAATAAGTTAATTCGTTACTTAATCAGCCGCTGGAAATTTCCTGGGCACTCATGTAATATGTTTGCACAGTTGTCTAAATGTATATTGTGCAGCAAAGAACAGTAATTGGTCATTGGACGTTGAAAATAAATTTGATAAATCAATTCGTTCCTCTTCATTGAGTTTCATTGAAAAACTTTCATGAAGTTAAGTCTCCCATCGTAGGCTCGTCAATTAGTCAGGGATTACCTACGTCGTCGTCAACTGGAAGAATCATCCCAAAGTGTACAACAGCATATTGAGCACAGGAGAGTCGACTGGATAGACTGGATAGACCATTGACTCAAAAGTCCAGTCTCGTCCGCACGTCGTCGCGATGACTTTTGCGCTTTTCTTTTTATCGATTGCTCTCTTTTGGCATTTAAAGAAAAAATTTCAAACGTTTCTGGAACTCATGGCAACAGCATCGTGTTCCCTCCATGAACCGCTAGTGCAAACTCCATTGCCACGCCACCAGTCGTTCACGTCGTTGTAAGACTTTGGCGGGCGATCGTCGTGAAGCATGGCGCACACGCGACAGAAGAAATACGTATTTATAAATTCCCCGGTACCTTTCCACTTAAAGTAAGAATTGTAGAGCTCGTCGTCGTTATCCAGTCTGTAAAGATATTCTGCAAGTTCTTTGGGAGATTCAAATTCATCGACGTGAATGTAGGAACGATAGGGTGCGCTTCTCGCATAATCCGTGGGGTGCGCTCCCATCACTATGGGAAGTACGTTGTGCCTGAAGACAAACGTTGACGTACATTACATTTCCTTTTATTAATTATTTATACAAAATATATAAGCAAACTGTGCAACTCACCCCAGGCCATTGACAAAAAATTTCTCGGTTATGTAATCCTTGCAATTCGAGTTCTCGAAGGCGAGGTAAAATTTGTAATCTACGTCGAGCATATCGAAACATGTCTGTGCCTGACTCCGTGGACAATGTAAAGGTCCGCAGGCTCCATAAATGTCAACTTGAATATGCTTTCCCAGTTCTTTGGCGTACCTCATTCTCTGATTACGAGCATGACAGTTCGACACGAACCAAGCGACCTGAAGAAAGTACATAATACCCATAATATTATCGTATATCTACGATTACTCGGACTTCATTCCGTAGTCACTGGTCTCACTTTTTTCGTCTTATTGGCGGCATAATTGAAATGTTGATTTATCTGCGTCACACTGGGATCATAATACTGCCATCGTTCATAAGGAGCGACAATGTCACTGTCTTTGCGATAAGTACCAGTCCAATTAATCGCTGCATTCTTAATATTTTGAGTATGATAAGGACATTCCAGGAAGTAAATCATCCAAATCTAAGAAAGAAAAAAAAAACATCAATGACCACCTGCTCTTGGCAATATTGTTTTGAAAAAGAAAATTGACAAACACTAAACCAACCTGATTCGGAGGTCTGTGGCCCACGTGTGAAATATAATCCTGGAACACCACCAGATCAGCATTCTCCATATTATCACGTGTGATCACGCAGGTATTGACTGGACATTTTTGGTTGAAAAAAACGTCACGGCCAGTCAAGGCTTCGCCCATACCATGAGGAATCATAATCTTCTTCAGATGACTCTCCGCGTATGTCCTATTGTATTCCGGTGGCATAAACATCAATTGATTTGTCACGCGATCATCATTCGCGTCCTCGTCGGGCCAAAGCTTCGCCAATCGTCGTCCAGTGCGACGTGATTTTACAGCAGGAAATGGCATCCTCCTCCCGCCTTTCATGTACCACGGCCTTCTCGATGGATCCGAGGAGTCCACCGGACGCTCCGCCAGGTTGATCGTACCAGTGAAGTTCAACGCCTTTAAATTAACGAGCGTTATTAAAAAAGTGTAGTTATCAAAAAATATAATTCGACACTCATTATATACATTATTTAACAAAACTTTTCATTAATACCTAGTTCACTTAATTATTCCCAGAACAATAATTTTATCTTCATAATAACATTACTGTACTATTTTAACCTTCGTATATCCGCGTCAAATAGTGTAACGCTTATACCCGCGCGCGGCGTGCGAGACCGAAAGTCACGTGCACGGGTACACGTGCTGCACGCACGAGCGCTGGCGTCGCACTGAACTGAAGTTAGCCACGAACCATGCAGCTAGCAGCGAGACCAAGCGCTAATATTCTCCGTTTAAAAAAAAACGAAGCAAACGTTAATCGTCGGTCTGACAGATCAATGCGCCGGTATACGAAGGTTAATAAAGTGATGTATAATTATATACTGTTATCTATAAGATCAACGTTTAACGTAACCCACTTGCAAATACAAACTCTTCATTCCATATATCAATATTATATATTTAAACAATTCGAATCTGTCTTAACTATTCTATGGATACTTATGGTAATAAGTTTTATATATATATATATATATATATATATATATATATATATGTTTTATATTTATATATACACACACATATGTGTACAAAGTATGGACGGCAAGTGTCTGTTTTACGTTATGAAAACTTTAGCATAATATGAAGAGTTACTCCAATTGTACTTTGATCTTTCTAACTGTGTATCTACATTATCGAATGCGTTAATTCTTTCTTGACTGCCTATTGACATCGAACGAACAATGGGTGCAGCTAATACAGCGCTTAGGACTTCGATCGACTAAGGCGGTCTAATGCATCGATATACGAAAATATACGTACATTGATGACTCATTGTACAGCATTTACTTATCGATGTCAATATTATACCTGTGTCGCAATACTAATTAGTGGCCCCCCAAAACAGCTTGTACGCTTAATTTCTATGTGTTTTCAAGGCCGTCATAAATTAATTAGAAGCATAGACAAGTGTTTGTGTCTTGTTAGATAAGATGTCCTGTGTATTTAGATGTAAATGTATTTTCAAGTATAAATAGCGATGAAAATATGTACGTGGATAAAATTCGACTATTTAGAGCAAAGAATATAAATGAAAATCGTGAAACACGTGTCTGTAGCTTGTTTGACTCCTTCGTTGTCACGGAGAATTCGGCCAAAGGTGGCCTGGGAAAAAAAAGAAAATTTGAAAATTTTTATCAACAATCTGTACTTCGACGTTTTTTGGCTGCTGAATTTAAATTTGAGGTCAAAAGTGCTAAATTCGAAGTATCCAAAGAATTTTTTAAAACGGGCATATCTTCAGGAATACAATATCGAAGTATTGTATATTTTTAAAAATTTTTAACCCCGTCATTATCTGTCAACGATTTTGAGTTTGACAAATTTTTATTTCAAATTTCGTTTCGGGGACTCGAAAAATCCCCGAATACCGCTTGCGTTAAAAGTTCGAGCTAGTTCAAATAAAAGCAGAATTTGCGCACTATTGCCTCAGTCTCATACGGGGTACGGTACGATTCTGTTGCGTGAATGCCAACGAAGGGGTTAATAAATATGATTCTCCGAGACTATGATTAAATCATAGGAAATTTGATAATGATAGTGTATAAGATATCATATAGCATAGCAATAGCTGAACGGCGCTAATATAAATATTTGATACTAATTGTAAGCACAGCTACTACAAGTGTAATACAGCCCTGTATCAATTGACATAGCGACTGTACCTCGGACGGAAGTTTTTCTGGTACTTTTCCCCGCTTTCGCAATGGCTTCACGGGTCTCTTTGATTTCGAGGACCAAGCGAGCTTGATCTGCGTGCGAAATTTATGATTTAAGAAGAATCGCGTTTAATTGAAAAGGAAAAAATTTTAAAAGCATCACGTATCCGGTGAATGACTTAAAAATACAATTCACGCAATAGCACGTACATACACTAATTTTATACAAAAATTCAAGACTATTCGACAATTTCGTTAATTATATGGCTGATCTATTTTTCATGTATATAGGTACACAAAGATTGAACGTACCTTCGATGCTTCTGGTACAGTACGAACTGCCTGTACCTGGGAAGGATTCGTTCGCAAGGACTGCCAAATGTCCTTTTGCCGTACGTTTATAATGACCAGCAGCATTCCCGTGAAGCAAAAAACGTAGAGGAAGCATCTTTTAAGTGATAAGCGTGGCAGACCCATAACGTTCGCCGGAAGTGGCCAAAATTCTCCTATCTAACCAAACCGACTCGTGTCCAGTTCCTGTTTGCACCCCGACATTCGGCTATTCTGAAATTGAAAATTGTCAAGAAAATTTGCAAGTTCCTTAATCCGTCATAAGATTTAATTGTATTTACACGTAACGATCCAAATGAAATTCTGACACAACGACCTGAAACGATGCTTTTTAACGTATGACGCGAAATTACTTCGTCGCACGCACCAAGGTTATGGCAGTGTCACGTGTTCCGATTTTAACAGACGCTTACGTCTCTTTAGTATGGTCAGTGCGCCTAACGGGTTCATATTCGCTACGAATAGAGTTTACTATACGATCACGAGAAAAAATATACTTGAAAAGTCCATGTACAGTCGTGATCATTATTCGAGGTAGAATGGCGTATAGTGTCACAGGAGGGTGGACGAGACATCCGCTATGCTTTAACGCTTTCGTGGTTCTGGTCAGTTGGTGGTTATGGGTACTGCTGCCTATGCGAACGTATAGTGTGCCGTAAAAAATGTGTAAAAATAACATCGATTCAACATTTCCTCGCATTTTATAGAAGTCTACGCCGTTGTCAGTGTTGATCTGCGTGGTTAAAAATATAATGTTGAAGCAATGCCAAAAAATTGAACTCTTTTGAAACGTCCAAGCGGTGTATGGCATTCAATCAATGTATGACGAGTGACGATCTATGGCATTCAATCAATGACGAGTCTCCGTCAACATCGCACTGGTTGACGTGCTAAGAGAATTAAAATGCATTGACAATACGATCTACGTAATTGTGTAATTAAAAAAATATATAAAAAAATAAACTATGTTATCACGGTTTTCGAGTTTAATTTATTTTAAAATGACAGGAACGAGATTTGAACCCGCGACCGTTGGGAGAAGCTTTGAAAAAGTCATAAGAGTGACGCTCTACCGTCTGAGCCACTGGCTCAAGTTGTATGTATTATTTCGGTTAAGGATTATACTGAACACTATCAGTATATAATAACATGGGCATCTTTAAAACAGTATATAACCTATACCGATACTTCATTGACATATGAAACTAGGACGTCGGGTTAATTAGTTTCGACTTATCCCTAAAAAAAAAAAATATTTTTATGCCGACTAACAGAATACACACTTTTCATTAGACTCGAATGAAATGAGTCTGTACAAAATTATTTTACGAAATCACTTTTAAATTTATTAAAATTCGTCGATTAACGTTTTATATGATCGATTTAATTGAACTTTATAAGGAAAAAACATTTATCACACCCATCACGTCACTTTTACAGTAATCAGTATTATAAAACATCAAGTTTATTCGCTATGCACACCGTGCGAACTATTACGGTCCATTTTCTCACGGATTAATGAGTGTCAATAATATCTAGGCCTCCAAAACTATTTTTATCTCTGTCCTACTCATTTCATTTGAATAAGCAAACTTAGGTAGGTCTAAGCATAAATGACGCCAAGTATACATACGTACGTATCTCGTTCGTCCATATAATCGTATATACAAAGCATCTATGTAAAAATCAACAGTGCATAGACCATAACACTCACCCACAATATTATCAACTGCAATCGGCAGGTGTAGCCGGAGAAATTTAGACCAAAATTTTGTTGCACTATAAGATACAAGCTGTTATATCTATTATTTACTTTTTATTAATACATTTAATTCATCAGATATTTTTTTTACTATTTATTGTCTAGATTTTTAATCGATATTATTAACTTTATGCCGAGTCTGAAATTTTTTAAATATTTTTTTAGCTAGTTTTTTAAATTTATATTATGTACTAATTATGATACTGATTTTTGGCTGAATTTTAGTTATTTATTTTGACAAACTCTAATTTATTTGAAGAGAAACTCATCTCTCATTCCAAATCGAAATATAGTTATATCGTCACGTATATATCGTGATAACTGTTGCTTGTAAATTCTGTTATCGAATATGATAACCCAGAACCAGTTAGATGCTTTATCTACAGGCTTAGTTTTCTTAGCACTGATGGTCGTTAAGATATTATTTGAGCGACTGTCGATGAGTGTATGTTTCACTGCGATCCTTCGTGTTACAAAGATACACTAAATTATGTTGAACACTTGCGACGCATTTGACTTAACGGAATGTACACCCGAAATGACAATATTTTATTAATACAGCAACACCTGTATACTCAGGTTTATAAATATTAGTTTTTTTTTTAATTTTTCATTAATAGCAGTAGAAATAATTTTCACAGACCAATTTCATCATAGCAAAAATTTTCATTAAAATCCAGGGCCTGTCTGAAGGCCCTATTGATTTTCATAATAAAATTTCTATCAGGCAATTTTGATAACGTAATTAAACAAATGAAAAAAAAATATCAAATTCAATTTTTAATATAAATTTTTTCAATTTTTCAAAGTTCGTTCTTCCTGTTTTAATCAACCGATCATTTTTACTCAATACCTTACACATATGAATACATGGATGATTCATGTACCTTTAATCGGCTTTCTGCTTCTCTGCTGCGTAAGATCGTCCAGTCGTCCAGTTGGCGAAACCGCATTGAGGCTGGCAGCTCCTACGCAGAATATAGTTCTCCAATAACTTCAAAGATAGAACAAAACTTGTATTCGATACCGGTACACGAACGTGATTGCTTGTGACTTGCGGCATATTTTATTATCTAATCGCCGGTTTCGATAATTAATAAATAACACGTACGCCCACCGATGTCAACTCTTACGATAAAATTCGTTTCATTTTCTCATCAGTGAAAGAATTTTTTCATTTTTTCATAAAATACCATATAAATTGCAAAAATTACAAAAATTCGTGATACCAAAATATTTAATAAATTAATTAAACAATCGGTAACGAAAAGATTCCTAAATAACCCACGTTCCTGGTATTACTCGAAGCCTTATAAATATCGCGTATGCTTATAGAACATAATTTCATAATAATTTCAGATCTCAGCACTATTTCTTCAAGGTTGATGAACTTCAAGTCACAGAAAAAATTTATAACAAAAAACGTGACTCGCATAACGTCCGACGCTCGGGTGGCTGGGATGAGGTTGGTAGAACCGTTATAAAATATTCAAATAAATCAACTAATAGTTTTCCTATGGTGTAAACTTCATAAGGTACACGTAGAAATTTTATGTAAAAATTTTTCTACTTATAATACAAATAACAGACCACGTGTTCGCCACCAGGTTCTGACGCTTTTAATATTAGGCGCAACGTTAACAACGTTTCTGTCATCATGCAACGTTAACCTGTGCACCATAAAACTCGTCACACTGCTTGTATTATTAACGTGCACTGGATTCTAATCTACATTATGTAAATATATCGTGATAAGCCCTTTCCGTACCCACGTTATCGAAGGTATAATTGCATTGCGCGAATTGTACCATTATCTATGCCAAACAGTAATACAGTGCGGATATGTACAATATATTATTTTATATATCCGTTTCTATTTGGTATAAAATAATAACGAAATTTATTTTTGAAGCAGAAACTACTTTTGGAAATATTTAAATTGTAATAATTGTTTGAAAAGTTACTCACGTGCCAGTCGAAGCATTCTTGGTTATTTTTCGTATTAACGTGCAGACTGTCAGCTTGTGACTAACTTCACGCTTCGAGTCGATTGGATTGAAAAAGAAAATCATGTGACTTGCATTTAGTTGAAACAAAACAGATCTGGCTGTCACATGGATACTTGACAGAATCCACTTAACGACATAACGTGTATCTATGTGTATATATGTGTGTGATCTTCATAATTCAGAAGTCAATTGACAATGAAGTCTTTATACTATGTCTTTTGTGGACAAACAAAGAAGTGTTGAAATTGTATAACCAATTCTGTTCGTCAAATCTTACAGTTAGTTTTACAATAGTGACTTGTAATTTATAGTATTTGGATATTTTGACAATACATCCGGTGAAAAGCAGGGGCTTAATAATCTTGTTCTTAATTGAAACTTTTGATTACCACTTGGTTCACATTGTAATGTAATCGCTGCAGAAACGTGGCAAGTGACTGCGTAAACGGGTTCGTGATAATAAAATTTAAATATCTCCGTATACTTGAAACCACACAAGTTCCTGGTGTGATAAAAAAAATTAATATAGATTCCTCGACTGTGGATTATCTCATTTTTTGAGTTTCCTTATGAATATATGTAATATAGGCGACTGGTAAGGCTACTCTGTGCCTGTAGTCGCGTCAAGGATGGTTATCGTAATAGCAGTTAACATCAGTGGACTAACAAATCGCAAAATATATCGGTACACAGTGCGTCAATAATCCTTTGCTGTAAAAATAAATGGAGCCTTTTTACGGAAAGCTTGTAAAAGTATATATTTACGTTTGCCTCGAGAAACTCTGTATGAGTACGAGTTCCGTAATGTCTAGTTACTTCATAGCCATATATGTATTAAAAATGTTACATAACTCGGTCAAGATTAGCGCAGTACTAATTAACCAAGTATCTTTAACCTTCTAGTGGTGTCGTTCAGTTTGACAGATAGGATAGGCGTGTGTTTCTTGCGGCAGGAAAAAAGGCGCCACCATTGAAAGGTTAAACAAGAGGGACGACATTTTTCTATATGAAGTACGTGGATAAGTAACTGTTGGTTGATATACATAGGTGTGACTAAAGTAAGGAACGTCCGACTCGTTGTAGGCTTTTATCACTTGCGAGGAAAAAAAATATCTTTTACAATAGTCAGAAATGATGGGAATGATAATGATTGTTTAACCAAATGATATGATTGATGAGTTTGTTAAAGATATTGGCAATCGTGTTTAGTTAAGAATTTATAATTATTGTATTTGTTGATGACTTACATTTGTTTACGATTCCAAAATTACTGTGGCAGGTACCAAAGATGGGGTAGAGATTTTCAAAATACAAATATATATTGATGAGTTGATTAGTTCGACTGGTTTTTTGTGGCACTGATAACGTATTTTCTTTTTTTAATTGTACACCGCACTGTCAGTTACAACTGCATAGCCTTCCTCTTCTGCAGTACAGGTGTGACACACATGAAAGCGGTGCGTTGCGATAAGGTGGAAGTTATCGAGGAAACTTACCATGCATAAAGTGTGGGGCGCGGGGTTGAGAAATGAGAGGAACGACAATAGCACCAGCATGTACCATGAAAACGGTACAACTCAAAATCCAAGAGTACACTAGTCACATGACGCGAACGCGAAATGTATACCTCCACAGATTCTCCTCATTTTCGTGGCTCTGCGAGCGGCCTGCTTTTCGGAGTGACGACGCCGGCCCAGCCCGATTTCCACCCGCTTCTCATCCACCCTTTACATTTCTACAGAATCGACTCCTCCCTTGATACTCTCCGCGTTGGGAAAATCTATAAATCACGCGTCTGCGCCCACGTGCGTTTTCATTCCATTTCTATTGCGATATCCCTGGAGTCACTCCATTGATTAAAGAAAAATTCCTTGTGATAGCTATTCATGGTGACTTTGAAGAATTTTTCTTTTCAGATTAAATGGATGCTGAAGATGAAACTCTGGATTGATGGTAGATAGGTATTTGCTTTTCTCTACTTTTAAATATTATACATCTCTTATCGCTGTAGTCTTTAGAGGGTTATATAGTGACCACTGTCGGGACAATGGCGACTGTTTAACAACAAGCGGATTCAGCCATTATATGAGATTGCTATAGGTATTGTTGGGAATCTAGGAATTTAATGAGTTTGTTAACTAAGATTTGTGCACTCTTTGGTGACTTTAAGAAATGCTTTTTACAACGTATATTGTATTCTGTTTATTTGGAAATTTATCCTAGTATTTACAGATGGTGTTGTCGTTCTTGTGGAGATTTTTAAGTTTACTTGTAAGAATTCTTTGCTCGCCAATCGAGAAATTCATCGAATTCAGCCTCGTCACCGCTCGAGACGTCCTCGTCTACGTTTTCTTGTTTCCTGTCGGTGGTTTGTACTTGTTCTTTGCGTCGTACAAGATCCATAACTCTGCAGAAGATAAAGGCATTTGTTGTTAATAATAAAGTTACCTGTGACATGAAAAGTATAATTTAATATAAGATAATGCAGTACCTGGACCAATGACGTATTTGCTCCTCAATTTCATCAAGTTGTCGTTCTGTTGTTGCTTCTTCTTGGTCATCTGCTATAATTTGGGCAGATTGGGCTGTTTCTTCTTTGATCTCCTTTCGAAATTTCTCCCATTCTTCCTCTATTGGATCTTTATATTCTACATTGCGCACCTATAGCAAACATGGTGTTCCAGATTTTTAATTTAATTTCACCATATTAAAATAAATAAATGCTAGGGTGGATAGTTATTTCACCTTTGCATCCATTATAGGATCATCAAAAAATCCCTCAGGCAGTGCTGCTTGGCTAGGATCTTTCGCCTTATCCTTATCCTGATCCACTTCAACTTTCTGACTTTCTGTATTATCATTAGAAACACTGTTATCTAATTTTACTTTGATATTAGATATTTGAAGGCTTGTAGAATCAGTTGATACTGATGGTGCTTTATCAAAAAAATCTGCTGGCAAGTTTCCCTGTGACCGTGACGATGGTTGAGTTCCATTTTTTAATATGCTCTTAATTTTTTTACTCTCTGTATGTTCATGTGCAGGAGAAGAAGGTCGCTTTAAAGTAGCTGGTAATACTTTTGGAACATTTTCTGGCTCCAATTTTGTTTTCTTTGCTAGTGCAATATTATCTTTGTGCATTTTTGAGTTTAAATGAAGAACCCATACAGTTTCACTGCGTACCACAGACTTACACAGGATGCACATAAGTTGTCCAGAATCTGAATACGTGTTTATAGCTAAGGATTTTTGTTCTTCAATATGTAATTAATAAAAACATTTATTTAAATCCTTAAAAAACAATACTGACATTTCTAAGATTCAAGAGAATGCTAATATTTAACCTAGAATTATACGTAATACAAAAAAGGATATTTGGCCAGTGGAGATTCAATCTTCTTAATTGTGCCCATCTTCTTTTTGTGATCGTTCATAGCCTTTCTCAAATCATTTTGCGTTAATTTTCGTTTCAATGACATTTTGACAGTTCTCTTGTTGCACTACAATATTACACATATAAACTTTTTTCTCGACCGTAAGGTTATGTTTTCCAATGCTCGTTTTTCCTATGCTATACACATTTCTGACATTAACTGCAAGATGGCGTTAAACGTTTCCGAATTAATTTTCTTGTGGAAGTGATGATAGAAGGGTAGGGACAGTCCAGTTTGTACCTGCGAATAGTTAGTCGTGTGTCGTGGCTTTCGGTATTTTGGATAATCAGTGACATTTAACATCAAGTATTGGTGATATTAGTACATACAAAAGAACTTCATTCAAAATGGTAAGGATCGTCTTTCTTTGATTTGCATATGGTCGTTTGTAGCAAGAAAATAATTCTCTCTTGTTGTAGATGCAATTCATGTTATTGTTCAGTCGCCAAGGAAAGTTACGTCTACAAAAATGGTATGTCGCCCATCCTGATAAACTGAAGAAAAAGATTACACGGGAACTGATCACAACAATACTTGCCAGAAAACCTAAAATGTCCAGCTTTCTGGAGTGGAAAGACGTCAAGGTCGTATATAAGAGGTTTGTTTGCTACTTTATATTTATTCAATGTATACAAGTTACTTCCACGTTCATTTAATTCTTATTGAAATAATTGCAGATATGCTAGTTTATACTTCTGTTGTGCAATTGAGCAGAACGACAATGAATTACTCACCTTGGAGATCATTCACCGTTATGTGGAACTTTTGGATAAGTACTTTGGCAGTGTAAGTATAAGTAATTTGACAAAGTATATTTTTCTATAGCAATCGTTTTGCTGGCTATGATTACATATAATTTCGTTTTGTTAAATTATGTGGTATAGTCTGCTTATATTTTTATATTTTGTTTATTTGTGACTTTGTTTATTATAATATATGATTAATTTAAAGCAGCATATATATAGCATATCTAAATAATTTGTTCAGTACCATTTCTGATAAAACATGTCTTGATATTTCTTGTCATTCGTAAGGACACATAAATTTATGAGTTCATAAAATGTGCAGGTATGTGAATTGGATATCATCTTCAACTTTGAGAAGGCGTACTTTATTCTGGATGAACTTTTGGTCGGTGGAGAGATTCAGGAGACCAGCAAAAAGAATGTGTTAAAAGCCATTGCTGCACAGGATCTTCTGCAGGAGGTTAGTCATGGGAATGTACCTATTGAGTTGTGACCTGTCTTATTTATTGCCATTGTTTTGACGTATCCCTTCCTTTCTTTAATAACCAGGATCATTTTAGCGTGCTGGAATATGTAGCACAATTCATAAAAAAACTAGCAGAGTTTTCACAAAAATATATTACTGAGATTGAATATATTTTTTAATGTAAATGACAAAGCAACAAAACGTAGCTTCTATAATGCATAAATTTATTAAACTTCGGCAGGTCCCATTTTATGCTGGAGTATTGTACATTAGAAGTATCGCTAAAATGGTCCATGAAAGTATCCTTTCGTAGTTATGTGTAATGTCCCTAACAGCAAGAATACTATACGCTAATAGTGCTTTTTGAGAATCCGTTTGGGAATTACAAACAATTCCAAAAGAGTATCGCGTAAGATTAAAGTATCTACAAATTGCATGGCGCAGTAGAAGTTATTAAATTATTCAAGCAAAATCGCAAAAGGAAGATATTTTACATCCTTCCTACTGTCGCGACTAATTAGAAAAATATAATCATACGGATTAGACGCGCATAATAAAACACAACATACCAAATAGACACAGAAAAATTGTGGATGAACAAACAATTAACAAAATATTAAAAATTGACAATATATTGGAACTAATCACAATCTTGATGAGATATTGTGTCGTGTATTTTATCACATGCATGAACAGTGCACAAGCAACTGTGTGATCAATACAAATGATAATACATAATTGTCACAAGTAGAGGCATGCAAACTTGTAATGACAGTTTACTTGAGTGAACTAAAAACAATCGAATCTAATGCGTGTCTAATATCCTCTCAATGAAAAGATTTTCTATTTGTTACGTTCTTAATTTAAAACAGGTTTCCTTGGTATTGTACTAGATATATTTTTGCCCCTACAGTCAAAGCGTATACATATATACAAAGCAGCATTTCCATAGAAAGAAAGAAAAAAAAAAGTCACGAAAATTCTCTAAATTTCCATATATAACCTACATACACCATTCTCATTCGGACAACGTCGCAAGTTTCTTACGTTAAAAGAAAAATATTTTGAAAAAGTGTCTTCCATCGAAACGTTTTTATATAACGATACGTTTCGCACGTACGTACTGAAATATATTAATAAATACAAAAAGAAGACATACATAGTATATTTATCGTAAGAGTAGCACGATGAACAGAGTATCCATTGAAAAGGGCGAGGTACGAGTTTCATTGAGTTTTCTACATATTTAGCCCAAAGATGGCAGTCTTTATACATGGAGATACTCGTAACTAATGCACATGACGAAAGTATTAATAACACCAGAAGTATTTATCGTTACCGAGTATAGAAAGTTTTTCCTATAAATGTCGTTTTCTTTTAAACATAAAATGCCATACGCGTGCCCTCGTAACATAACCGATGTTTCGAACATAATTAATACGAGACGAATTTCTGAAGAGTACAACTTTATAATCGTAGAGGTTCTCGTCTTGTCTACGCGAAAAAACTTGGCGAAAAAACTCATGTCTAATTAAATAGACTAATTCGTGTACGTCAACGTGAAGTTATGACGATGAAACTTTAGTTAGATCATACGATTAGGGCAATGACTCTCTTCAATGGAGAATTTGATGCTTCGTCATAATAATTTGTATTATTAATATTCATTCGTATATATATTTACATACATACATATATATATATACATAGTCAACATTCTAATAACAGGGTCCTTCGCGAGAGATATGCATTCCTGTGATTGTGAATGATTAACCTACTTAAAGTTGATCATAAATTCGCTTATTAATTGTACGCACAGTTGTTAGCTTCTTAGATCGTAGATAGCATTGGTAAGTATAGATGCATAATAATATATGTGTATAAAGGCAAATTATTTTAATCCTTTATCTTCGCTCGGAGATCATCCCTTTAATTTATATTATTTTCCCCCTTAATTCTTGCCTCTTTTATCAATCTTCGAGAGCTTTTCACGTATAACGTTTATATACGTCTCTTAGTGCCATCAGTGGAAACCACCATAGATTTGCCAGCTTCTGAATCTCCTTTCAGATTTGCCATTATCTTTTTTCCTTCATTTCTACTTCTTCGTCCGTTTCTACACGAACTACTAATTCTAGTCGTTACTTGCTTATATATATCGCGAATTTATCATATATTTGCCCTCAGTGCTTGCCGAACCAGTGATTCAGCGTACTGGTAACACGTGTTCCTGTGCATCCTTAGTAACCCACCGAGCGCGCGAGCAGTCCCCCCCCCC